GGAAATCAGGCTGCTGATTATGGAAATGATGATGGTCATTTTGTGGCCTTTTCCCCATTGCTGGGTTCCATTCTTTACAAGTGACCGGTTTCCCTTTTGAGTCCCACATCTCTGCTCTCCCCAGTGAAACTAGACTGATGCTTATGTGCAGGTTGAATGCTGGAAGGGAGGGTCAGATTTGCCCATACATAATCACTGTTTTATGGCTTTCACTCAGTCCTGAGGTGTTAATGCAGATCAAATGGAAAGCACTCCAGACAGAGCCCTTGCAGCTACCACACCGCCTAGCTCTCCCTTCTCAATCGTTAATTCTTATTGTAGGATCTAGAGGTAATTTCATTTGCTCTCTTAATGCTTTGCAGGTCTCCCAGTGGCCCTTGCATATCCTTTCTCAAATTCCCATCTTGATCAATTGTTTGCAAATAATTAAGCTTTTAAGAGATAATGGCACAAGGCTAATGTACACAGCAACTGCAAGGTCTCCCTCACTGTCTGTTGGATGGTGGTCAAATTTGCTTTGATATCCCAAAGTGATTAAGTTGATTGGTATATCAGGCCAGTGCAATAAGTCCTTCCTTCACAAGAACCCACTGATCTTTTCTCAACCAGTGCCCTTGTCATTTAGATGCAGTAAAGGATAGGTGCCCAGAGAAATGCCAAAAAGAAATGGAACCCTTTAGATACAAAGGGTTTGGAATGAATTTACCCCTTTCTCCCTAAACTGGCACCGTTTGGGAATCCTTGATGGCTTCTGCTTTTGCCTATTGAGTGTCCTCATTCACCATGTGGGCAAACACAACAGGGCTGTGAGTGATTTTCCACAAGTCTTGCCTGTGGCTCATGGGTTTGTTTGTTTGTTGTTGCTTTGGCCAGGCCATTTTTCTACCTCTACAAAGACATGACTCTTACTATCTACAAGCAGCCTAGGTAAGCAAGAGTCATAGGATTTGAGATAGTTAAACTACGCAGGCTTATATTTAGAAGCCTATTTTTCTGTGAATTTTTACTTGAGTAGGTATCAGCTACTTGGAGTCATAGTTTTCATGTGGTTTTGGAAATATAGATCTTAAAAAAAAAAGGAATTCAGAATTTATGGAACACTAAGGCCAAGAATCAAGAAAAGAAAGAAAAACATGGCTCCTTCACCATAGACAAGGAATTTGCTGATTTCCCAGTGTGCACATGGTCTAGAATTAATTAATTAGTTAATTAATTAATTAGTTAATTAATCTCTATATCTCTATCATCTCTACCTCTATCCATATCTATCTATTTATCTATCTTATCTATCTATCTATCTATCTATCTATCTATCTATCTATCTATTCACATTCAACTTAGTGTACACACACACATACACAGATACAATGCCTACTGGTTGGCATACATCTCTTATTAATAATGTCCAAATTATTGTGACATTTAATTTTATCCAGACTCATTCATATCTACATAAAAAATATATCCCAAAGAGCTGAAAATTGCTTAATGGAGACAGAGTGCTGGGTTTCTATAGCTTGAGGCTGCCTAGCAATTATGCTGCATGAAATTAGACACAGTTTGTTCCAATTACTTAAAATCAGATCACATGAAAAGTGACAGAGGAAAAGAAAAAAAAACTAGACCTTTCTCATTTTGTGATATTTAAATTATGAAATCAGAAACTACGCAATATGAAGAAACAACTGATACTTGCTATGAATTTGGAGATCTGCATTGCAGCTCTTTGGAGCTGTAATGATTCAGGTAACTTTAATGACCCAAGGAGAATTTTTCTGACACCATTTGCATAAATAAAATGTGAATTCCATTTGTCTTATAAGAATGAATGTAAAGCTTGCTCACAAACAAGCATGCAAAAATACTCTTGAAAAACACAGAATAGGGAAATTGCTGTGACAATTCTCAATTTTCAAAGTAGCTAAAAATGAATGGCACAAATACTAATTTTTTCCATCTAGTTTGGGTACTAGCATTAAGACAACAAGACAAGGCAAAAGATGCTGCTGAAGAGTGAGGATAGACATATTTATTAACTCTACTGAAAAATAATAGAAAGAAACTTTCCTAGAACCTAGAAAACTGTAAGCAAATAGTATTGTGGAAAATGTTATAGATCAGAATGCCCAAGTGTATGTGTTTATAACAACTTTATATGAAAATAGCATCAACAACTGGGTATTAAAAAATGAGTATTTGGGACTGATTAGATGGTAAAGGCCCCTGATAACATATGTTCAATTTCTGGATCCCACTTGGCATAAAATGAGAACCAATTCTGCAAGTTGTTCTCTGACCTCTACATGTATATAGTGGTGTGCATCTACACACACACAGACACACAGACAGACAGACAGACAGACACACACACACACACACACAGGTACAGACACACATGTGCATGCATGCATACACAAAAATGAAGGCAAGATTTTTTTTAAAAGAAGATTTCACATTTCAGAATCTAGTTTGTAATTCTTATTGGGCACTACTGTTTAGAGCTGCTAATAGGCGAAGTCTTGAACTTCAATGGATCCTAGGACTCGTAACAAAATTGATGGTTATAAAAGTTGTTCATGTTCAAAGTCTTATAATTAGTAAGTGCAGCATAATTTATATGCTCTAATGGAGTCATTTATAGTATATACAATTTTTCAACTAGTATAGACACAGAATTTCTGTACATATAAAATTCTAATTCAGTGTTCTGTTTCTAAGAAAAGAGATTCATTTGATGAGAATTGTGTGGCATGCTTTTATACAATAGGAATTAAGTCTTAAACATAAGGTATTGAGTGGTGTTTAGTTTTGTACTGGTCCTGAGACCTGGTTTTATGTTGTGTGTGGCCCTAGCTCATTATGGCTTGAATACATGAGTCAACGCCACTTTTAGAATTGAAGCAAAGCACATACTTGTGTGGATGCTTACACTTTCTCTGGGCTCTGAAAGATACTTTATTACCTGTTTTGGTGTTGAATCTAAACAGATAGTATCTTTGTAAGTTATTCTTTTTATTCAAACTATAGTTGCTAATTTTCCATTGCAAACCTATCTGGACTTTGAGGATGATGAATAATAAAGCAATGCATTTCAAACTGGTACTTGGGTGAAAAGACACACCAACCAGCAAACAGATTCAGTAAAAGGCTTCAGAGAATGACCTTTGTTATCAGGGAGTTGGGGGAAGGTTAATGTGAGATGAGATGTGTCTGCATGTGGTGTGGTGTGGTGTGGTGTGTGCATGTGCGTGTTTGTGTGTTTGTGCGTGTGTGTGTGTGTGTGTATGTGTGCACGTGTTTGGGTGTGTATGCATGTGTGTGTGCTTATGTGGGTGCGGGTTTGTGGGTGTGTGTGTCAGGGTGTGTTTACCTGACCTTGAGCTGAACCCTGACAGAGACATTGAGAAATGTAGTGGGGGGGGGAACCTTGGTATGATGGAAGAGTAGAAATGAGAACAGTGTGGCTGGATGAGAGGAAGTATTAGGTGAGATGCCAGTGGCTCTGAAAGGGTGGAGCTGATGGCTGGCTGTGCAGATTATGTAAGCAGTGTGGAAGTGTTTGAAGACTTAGATTCTGGGAGAGAAGAAGGAACTATCACTATTGGCTGTCCTTTCCCCTGGAGACCTACTGGGGTTAATTATCATCTTGTCTGAAATATACCTGAAGTTCTTTACAGAAAGGCACTATATTCCATGAATTCTCATTCTAATTGTGTATTTACTGATTAAGTGGCAATCAAAGGCAATGCTTATGGAGAAAATCACTATATCCCACAAGCATGTCCCATGTGTATAGGATATATTTAAAGTTACATGTAAAAAGCACTGATGTGGTCATTAGCGATTTCTTAAACGTCTGACTAGACGTTATTAATGAGATTAAAAGCTATGTTAATTTTCATCCAATAGACCAGAATTTAGTTTCCATGGCACACGTAGTTAAATTCAATCTTGAGGGTGACTTCTCTCATTCATAATGGGATTAAGAATAGAGGACTGACTGCCAGGACTTTATCTGGGGAGAATTTATAGGAAAGCAACCTTTCACACCAGCCAGCATCTCCACAGGTGGAAACCACACCTCCAGATTCTCTCCTGTACTTTAGAAATGTATGTTTCAGTTTAGATGCACTTGACAACTGAACAGAAAGTGTTTCCACAAAACAAAAATTTTACTAGAATTCCCAGTTCATTTTATCCTTTAATTATGCAATTAATATTTTTGTATTCTCCTCCTCAAGATCAACAGAGCTGTGTTTGTTCTTAGTATGTGACATTATGGCCTTTGACATTTTGTTGGCCTTTATATAGAATTCTAGAATATGCTGACTTTCAGATGTGGAAAGAAACTGTACTAGTTGCTTTTCTTACCACTGTGGGCAAAAGAAAAAAAGAAAGGAAAAAGAAGCAACAACAAATCATGGCAAAAGCAATTCCTTGGGAAAGGATTTGTTTTGGCTCACCCTTTGAGGTGCTACAGTCCATGATGGAGAGAAAGATGCCGAGGGGAAGGCACAGCCATGGGAGCCTGGGGCTGGGACTCCACACTCTCTCATATCTATAGAGTATTCTCTCTCTCTCTTTCTCTCTCTCTCTCTCTCTCTCTCTCTCTATATATATATATATATATATATACACACATATATATATACCTATATATATGTCTGACATATATATATATATATATATATATATATATATATCTGATAAAACACAGTGAAGTCCACACTAAACTTTCTAGCCTTGCAACAAATAAACTTGTTAAAGGGTAAAGTATCAAGGTTCTGCAAGTATCCTAAATAGACATTATACACTTCACTAATCTTTGTAATTGGCTTGTCTTTTACTGCCATTAATTAGATGATGTAGTATTCCATTAATAAGAGTGACATACCTCAGCATTTTTACCTTTAATTATAGACTTCACTAGACACTTAGGTTATTGACAAAATGGTATAAACATTGCTTGCTGTACACATACCTTTTTTGATCTCTTTCAGCACCCTTACCCTTCTGAAGAACAGAAAAAGCAGTTGGCACAAGACACAGGCCTCACCATTCTTCAAGTGAACAATTGGTGAGTAATTTGGCTAGAGTTTACACACTGTCTGTTCCCCCCTCTGGCAACCTGTAGTTAATGTATTGCTTGAAGAAGACACACCTAGTTGCTGCTGCTTTCCCTAGTGGCTTGCTGATCCAAAGGTAGAAACAAACTGGACTGATGTGGAGGAGTGCTTTCTAATGTGAAAAATAGAATATGTTGCCTTCCACCTTCTTTATGAATCAATAGGTTTTATGCATAGGATGAGTGTGTTGGGTGGATACTCACTCTGGCTCTGAAATCTGTAAAAGAAGAAAATCTATCATTGCTACACAACTGTCTTAAATTCACTGAGAAACTAATCCAATTAGCTTTTGTTAGGGTTATCCATTGGAAGGGTACCTGGTGTTCTCTTCACACTCAAATACTGAAGAGGGGAAAGTTGTCTTCTTCTCTGAAGGTCTTTACAGCCTGATGTAGCTGAGGGCTATTCAAAGCTATTATTTCTAAGTAAAGTATACATTCCTCATCTGGTGTAAAGCTGAGGTTATGCACCGAGTACTGGCCAACAATATTCAGACTAAATGTCCAGCAACATGGCACTGAGGCTCTGGGAAAGTGTGATTTATTGCCTTTTGTGACTGTGCTAAAAGGCATGTTAAGATCATCAGTCAGGCCTACTGTCATATTTGAAGGGTATTGAAATCCAATCTCCTCTAAAACTGAGGATATCTAATTAACCATCCTAATATTTTCAGATCAGTGTTTATAGTGGGGAAATCTTATCTTCTTTGAAGTAAAATCCAGAAAAGCCTCAAAACCTGATGGAGAAAAGAGGAAACTGAGAGTGACAGTTTGTAGGAATGAGTATTTCTTTCTGTTCAATAGGTGTCAAAGATTAATATTACAGAATCTCTGATTACATAGCCTAATCCATTTTGGTGAATACATTTGTTCTTGATGTCCATTGTACTCACATTAACAGACCCTTCACTATTAGAGAGCCTCAAGCCTTTGGGAGATATTTCAGATATATTAAACCCCATTACAGAAAATGTAATTTCTGTCAATATAATCCCATGTATTCCTCAACTCAGTGTTTTAGCGATAACAAGCTACTTATGCTATATTTGCCTTTGGAGGATTAATTTACAAAGTGCACTATCTACAAGACACAGACAGACTCACATGAGCTTTGCTTATAAGGGTTATCAATTTCTATGACCTTACCACAGCCTTCAGAGATCAATGTTTGCAGTCCTCTTAGTGGATAGGTGGATAGGGAACCCACAGAACTCATACCGTATCTAAATATGTTAAGTTCTGTTGCCTTGGAAGTTTTGCTGTTTGCCTATTTTTATCTGCTGTTGTCTTGAAGTCTTCAAGACCGTTGATACTGCTTGTTTGAAGTGGATCTTTCAGAGGTTCTTAATAATACCATAAGGGAAACAGTGAGTTTTATATGCACACCCACGATCATGTTCTTGGACTTAAAGTGATGGTGAAACAGTCACAGTGTAATGAAAACTGTTGAAATGGGGCATCTCCTTGGGAAATGTTCTTTGGTGGATGTAAAGGAGTGGCAGGCTGAGCTCATAGTAAGAAGCACTAAGGAGCTGGCTGTCTATCATACATGCCATCTCTCTTCGTCCTCAATGTTGCTAGCAAACTCTATTCGTAAACATAGTTACCAGAATAAATTCAACACATTCTTCTGTGTAACACCTGTCTGGTGGAACATTGCCTGTGAATGCAGGGGTAAAAGGGCCTTCTGTGGTTCCAGGCAATGTTTAGAACCCACCATTCCCCTACATTCTCTGCACAAGATCTAGCAAGGAGCTGCAGGTCTTCATCAGCCACTGAGCACAGCTTTACATCTTCACTTCGGTAGTTGGAGGGAAGAGAAGGGCGACTTGGAATTAGAAAGCTATGAAACAGTTTTCGAAGTATGTGCAGACTTAAGGCTGAAGTTCAACTCTGCAGATAGGTAACTTCAAGATCACTTTCACTTTTCCACATGGGACAGAGTGTGTGGCTCTCTCCTTTTGCCTTGTCCTTTCTGAGTGTGGAAATGGCTCTTCCCTATACCTCAGTGGTGTTGCATTTGTCAATTCCTCTGACCTCATTGACAATTTTCCTGGAGAGAATGTCTCAAAAAAGCCTAAAATATCCGAGATGGATTGTTGTTGAAGTGTGGTGAGTAATGGCATTCACATATTGATTGAAGTTTAACTTTTCCCAAGCCTTCTCTTTTTAAGAAGCTGGGGATGCTGCAGTGGTGCACTCCTTTAATCCCAGCCCTCAGGAGACAGAGGTGGGCAGGTCTCTGAGTTCAAGGCCAGCCTGGCCTATAGAGTGAGTTACAGGACAGCCAGGGCTACACCAAAAAGCTTGTCTTGAAAAACCAAACCAAACCAAGCCAAACAAAAAAAGCCACACATACAAAACAAACATACAAAAAAACTGGAAATAGACATGTTTCTTTAGGCTTTAGGTAGGAAATAGCATGCAAATAAAGGTGGTACCTTTTAGAAACTAAAGGTGTTGTAGAATCTTAAACCACAGCCTGTTTGAAGACTAAAAGGCAGAGAAAGTAGAGTGTGTTCTCCTTTTACTTCACTTACTAAAAACACATGAAACTTTTTTGACAGCCTGCAAATAAATATTTTCCCATGATGTTATTTTGTTCTAGAAATCCTAACTCAAAAATTGATCATTAATGTCTTAAGACTTCCTCTTCATTTAGATACAACTTTAAAAAAAAAAAAAAGTCTGTCCTTCTTGGATTTCTTAAAACTTGTTAACACACATGTAAATTTTTGTATATGCTATGAGTCACTGCTGAAGATGTTTCATAAAATGCTGAAGGGCAGGTTGGGTGTAGATCAGTCATAATTATTGGCAGCAACATAATGTATTGAAATGCACAATATGTTAAGTAAAAGCTATAAACTCATGTCTAGTTGCTAGCTTGTCATAGGAACCTTAGCTGGTGCAGCTTTAGTGAGGCATCAACTACAAAATGCAACAGGGACCTTGGGGCACTGTTCTTTCACACCCACCACTAAACCCGTTTTGTGTCTTTTTGTTGGCATAAGGATATACTACATGTTAGGTGACTAAGACTAAAATGGGTGGGGATTGGGGAAGTGGGAGAACCACACTGTAAAACAATACGATGGATTTGATGAGAGAAAACAGAGATAAAAATGTAATTGCAAATACCCATATTTATTTTACTGGTCAGAATCTAAATAGAGAGCAAGGATCTTAACATGGTTGGCATTAGAGCCCTGAAATGGAATGGAATATTTATCACATGAGAGGTTGTGGACTCAATCTATGCCAACATATTTGGTGAGATCTGGGGCAATTATTCAAATAATTCAGAATATTAAAATATTAATTTTTTTTAAAATACATAATTTTATTTAAGGAGATATTGCATGGCCTTTCCAAGTCAAAAATGCTATGACTGGTTGCCTGGGTATTTCAATGCTGTGAGAAGTTTAAACTCAGAGTGTGGTCAATTGTGATATATATAGCCTGCTCCATATGCTTGTATCTCCTTCGCCTTTGCTCTTTCATGATATAAACTCATTGAGAACTGGTAAAATTAACATTTGAGAACTTTCCATCTTTGTTTTTTTCATTGTTGTTGTGACAAATACTTCTGAGAACAATGTCAATGTCCTGAACTTTTTTTTTTTTTCATTTGAGGTAGAAATATTTTAAGTTTTGGCGTAGATGGCTCTTCATGTTTTTAAATATTTAATACATATAGTCAGGGATTTAAAATGCCATCTCAGAGTCAGGCAGTGGTAGCGCACATCTTTAATCCCAGCACTTGGGAGGCAGAGATAGGTGGATCTCTTTAAGTTAGATGTCAGTCTGATCTAGAGAGTGAGTTCCAGGATAGCCAGGGCTATACACACACAAAATATAATTTCAGTATTCAAGTATTTTATAAAATGTGTTTTTACTTATTGTTTGAGAATTTTTTAAGTGTACACAATTTGTTTTTGTCTGCCCCTGACTCCCTACCCTCTAGTCAGATGTTTAAAGAAAACATGCACATACATGAATATGTGCATACATGCATAAACTCAAAGTCAATATTTGAGTTTTCTTTTTTATCTTTAGTAGATCAACTTTTATACATTGAAAGTATGAGTGGAAAATGGTCGAATAAAATCTCATTTATGTATTTTGGGGCCATGCTGAAGACCAGGGAGTCCCCTGTGACAAAAGCTGATGTCTGTGTCTTATGTTGTACAGCACTGGCTGGGAACCTGGGACACTTCCTCTCTTAGCAGAGTTACAGCCCAGAGTGCACAGAGCAAACGTTCTAGTTCTTTGGCTTACTACTTTTCATGCACACACTCTCCCAGATGGGCCTGATGTTAAACAATTATCTCTTTGTGTTACATTTTGTGTGAAAAACATAGTATATATGAAATCTGGCATGTGTATAGAGAGAAAACCCCTTTCTATCAATTGGGTGTATAAAATTCTAGGCTGCACCCTAACTTCTGATAAGATATCAGAACTAGTGTCCTTGATAGATTTTTATTTTTTAGAATCATACTGGATCTTCCCAGGTCCTTCATCTATTGCCCTTAAAACTGCCAAGTGGTCAGGCATCACTTACCATTTGTTACACATGGGGTGGGGAGCTAGATTCTTTCATTGTAGGCAGGTAAAACTGGAATCTTATTTTTAGAAAAATCTGATATTTACTATAATAGATTCAACCATTAAAGGTCAAGTTTATTTCTGAATTATAGTAGTAATGTAGCAAATACTTTTATAAGTAATCAAAGATTCTATAAATATAGAGACATGTTTAGATGTAAATGTTAAAACATTCACAAATTATCCTTCCAGCTTCTGGGATCTAAAAATCAATAGGGGTCAGTGGGTCTCATAGAATTGTTCTGCTTTTTTTCTGATGTAATTTAATAATACATTTTACAGATGTTGTTTAAACATTAGGCACAGATTGTTTTGTCAATAAAGCTAAGCAGAGGCATGAC